TTCAAGAGTTTAATGAAAAAGGAGGTGATGATCCGAGTAATGTTCTTCAACGTTTGGTAGATTGCACAGGCAGAGACTTCCTCATTGCGTTTTTTGACAAGATCCCAGAAAAATCTCTCTGTAAAATTCTTCCCATGATTGTTGCTTCTAATATACCTATTTCTATATTCCTTCCAAATGATACTATTCATTTTGATAAAGACCTTAGAATCCTTAACAGATTATATAATATTATAACTGCTCGCAAATACTATCTCTTTCTTTCTGTGAATTCACCAAATCATGACCTAGGAGTGCTATTCTCAAAACAGCTTTACAAAAACTTCTCCAATCATCGTGAAGATTTTTTAAGCATATGTAATCCTGGTTCAATTGATATCTCTTTTCACGATGTATCCAAGAATCATTCCCGTCTACCATTGGCAATTGCAGAAGTTTATTTTGATGAGACCAATTTATCAACGTTCTGTGGTGTTATGAAAAGTCTCACTCAATACGCTTTTTACACCGTGATCCATGTTTCTCATAATGACTTTTATGATATTGAACCAGGTGAAAAACTGATAACAATTATCAATAATATCGATGTGGAAAGCTACGGTAACCATTAACGTAGAATTTTGATCATGTTTTGGGAACCGAACAAGGCTGACATTAAATTTAGTCATCATAAAAAAAGAATAGATGATATCCTATTCAATAAATTCATCAATGATAATATTTCTTATGATTATGTCATTAATAACAAGAGAAATCTAACATTTGAGAAAATCAAAAAGGACTCATCCCAGAAACTTAGGGATACTCCAGAACTTTATTTGCAATCAACTTTCTTCAAATCCTTTGATCATGCTTATAACGATATGAATAAAAACAAATTTGCAATATTAATTGTCACGGCTGATTATAAAATCAGATTATTGTGAAATTTGGATCTATTTCATGTATGATTTTTAAAATTTTTTGGGCCTTTTTTGTAGGCTTTTTTTTATAGTTGAGTTAGGATTTAGGGTTAGAGTTTTTAATAAAAGAGTATTGGTAGATTTTGGTAGGGCCTATATTTTCAAATTGAGATCCCAAATTTCACAATAATCTGATTTTATAATCAGCCATGCTATTAATTGCACAATCAGAATTTAATTGTCGAGCAGACATATTCTAGGCCTCCCATTGTTCAAACATGATTGAAATGCTTAAGGATAAAACTCATCTAAAAACTTTTGAGGATCATAAAGATTATAGAACAGAGAACGAAATTAATTCTGAAATTGTAAAGTTTCAAGATCAACAAAAGAATATTGTTGATCAAATTCTTGCTCTTTCACATTTTGCACAAATAATCAGAAAAAATAGTATTTGTGAGATGCGTGAATTTGCTCAGCAGGCAGACACGTACTTTAAAACACATCTCTATGATTTGGCTCAAAAAGAACATGTTGGTACTCATAAAGAAGAGATTAAACAAAAAATAGAAGACAGAGATATAACGATTCATGATTTTTGGAGAGAGTTTATTATTATGTCTAAAATAAAACAATAGGATAATCATTTAACAATCTTAGAGGCAATATATGGTCTCAAAGTTAAGTAAGTATTAAAAAACATTATAATTTGGATAAGTTTTAAAGCTAATCACCATAAATATTCAATTTTAATTTAGAGAACTTGAAAACAGATACAGAACCTGGATTTGTAAGAGTGAATCAATTCAGATTTTGGAAGGCATATCTCTTAGAATACTGGATATTGATTATCTTTTAACAGTATTAAGTAACATTATGTCTGATAATAAATGACAGTTAATTGTTCTTTCAGTTATTAGACTTGAAAGTTCTGGAAAATCTACATTATTGATATGCATGTTTTCTCATTCTAGTAATCAACTTTTAACAATATTTTTTATTTATGTTTGATAGATGCATACATATCATATAGGTATACTATTTATAGTGGAAAAGAATTAGATATTCTTATCATAGATTCTGAGGAAATGGGTTCTACCGCCCAGAAATACATCTCAAGATGCCACAGATTTTGATAAAAAAATGACTCTTTTGGCCTTAATGTACTCACAAATCTTAATTGTTAATACTAAAGGTCTCATACATGATATTTCTGATATTCTTGAGGTATCTTCTTATCATCTGGATGCCCTCAGCCAACAGGATTCTAAGCCAAGAATAAATTTTGTATTACATGACATAAAAGATGCCAGAAGTGCTCAAAGTCCAGCATTTTGTGATATAAGAAAAAATTTACGAAAGATGTTTCAAGAAATTCCAGGATGTGCATTTGATATGGAAGACTTTATGATTGTTGAAGAAAAGGATGTTCACCTGCTTGAAAATGCCTTTTCTTGCTCATTTGATGATTTTAATCTACAATCTATGATTACTAATAATGATAACTTTTATTTTCCTGTGGTAAGCATTAATATTGTATGATTTATCATATATGATAACATATTTTATAGGGTATTAAAAAATCTATTAATTTAAGAAACTTTTCTATTAAAAATATCTAACCTCTGAGAAGAATTACTTACATTAGCATTGATTCCAAGTGAAAATCACGAGTCACAAATTTTTAAAAATATGCATGGTAAGAAGCATCTTATCTTCTTGTTTAAGTTTATTTTACCATAGGATTTATCATGAAGTTTTCTAAAGTTATTTGATTTATATTTTTACAAGGTTTTATTGCGTATATGCAGTCTATTTGGAAAGAAATTGATGCATGTGGAAATTTTTTTTATTTTAAAAATTCTAAAGATATACAACAATGGAATGCAATGAAAAAGATTGTCAGTAGCTATGAAGAGACTTTATTAGAATCCTACAAAGTAGCTGGGTTAAAATTAATAGATAAACAAACTGAATTGAATCAATGGACCAAAAATGATGATATAATGTTTGAAAAATGTCTTGATCAAGAAACCAACAAATATCTCTCTCAAGCACTTGCTGATTTTTGGCTAAAAGTCTCTAATCAATATAA